GTAAAGAGAAAAACAGACACAAAGATCTGCCATCCACTGATTTACTCACCACGATATTCTAAGCTGTCTGAGCTGGGCCAGGTGGAAGGCGAGAGCCAGGACCTGAGCCTGGGCCTCGCATGAGGTGGCAGAGATCCAAGTCCTTGAGTCATGAGCTGCTGCCTTCTGAGTGCATTGCCAGGAAGCTGAATCAGGAGCGGAAACAGCGTTTGATGTCTGGCACTTTGGGATGGAATGCAGACATCTCAAATAGCAATCAACTCCTTCTGGCACAATATCTGTTATTTTTAGAGAATTTATTATTACTGTTTTATTTGAAAGGCAGACTTTTTTTTTTTAAGTCAGAGAAGGGGGGAGGGAGGGAGAGAGAGAGAGAGAGAGAGAGAGAGAGAGAGAGAGAGAGAGAGATGTCTTTCATCTGCTGGTTCACTCCCCAAATGGCTGCAACAGCTGGAGCTGAGCTGATCTGAAGCTGGGAACCAAGAGATTGTCTTCCCAATTTTCTGTGTGGAAACAGGGTCCCAATGATATGAGCCACCCACTGCTGCTTCCTAGACCGTAAATAGAGAGCTGTGTCAGAAGTGGAGCAGCTGGGCTCGCATGATAGTATGGTGGCTACATCCTCACCTTGTACGAGCAGGGATTCTATAAGGGTGCTAGTTTGTGTCCTGGCTGCTCCGTTTCCGATCCAGCTCCCTGCTTGTGGCCTGGGAAAGCAACAGAGGATGGCCCAAAACTTTGGAACCCTTCCCACACATGGGAGACCTGGAGGAAGCTCCTGGATCCTGGTTTCAGAATGACTCAGCTGCAGTCATTATGATCACTTGGGGAGTGAGCCGGCATATGGAAGATCTTTCTCTGTCTCTCCTTCTCCGTAAATTTGACTTTCCAATAAAAATAAATAATTTAAAAAAAAGTGGAGCAATAAAAACATACTTGGTGCTTCAGGGATAGGATTAGCTGACTATGCCATTGCACCAACCCCTCTTGCTGGTCCTCTAAGAGTATCCATTTGACAGAGTAATTTTCTTTTTAAGGATATTTATGCCTTAATGCCTAGAGCCTGTGAATGTCTTGTGTGTGTGTGTGTGTGTGTGTGTGTGTGTGTGTGTGTGTGGCAAATGGGATTTAGCAGATGAGATTGTGTGACAGATTGGGGGCAGAGTGTCCTGGATTACCCAGTTGTAGGTACTCTAATCAGGAGGGTCCTTGCTGGAGAGAGGGAAGAGATATGGGATGCAGGTGTCCCAGCCAGGTTCTTAACTGCTGAGCTGATTGCCTCACCCCAGTGCCCTGGGGGCTTGGGGTATCCTAAGGTGCAGGTATCACTGCTCCTAAATCTGTAGTGTGAATTACATGGAAGTTGTTCACCGTGAGTGTGTGTGTGTATTTTTTTTTTTTTAATTTAGGAAGAGAAAGTGAAATTAACCTATTGGAACTTATTTAGGAATACAGTACTTAAAATTACATTGATGTGCACGTATCTGTACATATGTATGTCGCCCATCCTGTGTTCTTTTTGCAGCATCACCAATCAAAATGACTGAGATCGCTACAGACTGGCAATAATAAACCCGTGTTCCTCTCTATAGGGAGAGAAAGTGAAGAAGCATACATTTTAAAATAACATTACTTTTGTTACTAAGTCATTTTTAAGTGGAATATATCAAGTAGAGTAGCATAAAAATGCTCGAGTTGTAAGTTAACTCTAGGAGAGTTGCACAGTTTCATGGACAGAAACTTCACACTGAGCAAATATTTGATGCTCTACATTTCTACTAATACTAAAAACATTTTTAAAAGGATCCTAGCTCCTGTCCGTTAGTTTCTTTTAATTTTATTTGGTGCATTTTATTGTCAGTTTTGTTGGAATGGCATTTTACTAAAGAGAAATATTTTGGAAAGTTTGATCTATTTGGAGGTTTAAAGAATACACGCTGTCCCTCATGATCCATGGTGGTCAACTTCTGCCGATCTATTGTGCTTGCTTCCTTTTTGTGATACGGTGGTAACTAGATTTGAGAAGTGTGAAGTGTGCTCCTCAGAGCAAATTAGTTGAAACTCATGCTTGTTTAGATAGTAAAATAGCAATTCAAAAACTACTTGTGTATTTAGTGTCATATATTTTCCTATCTTACCGTAAAATTGTAGGGTTGTAACTTCAGTTTTTGTTGTTAGAAATTTTTGTGTCATAATAAAAGTAACAGTCCTGTTTTCTGTTTAAATTTTGTTAAGGTACAGAATTATTCTTGGCAGATTGAGTCCAACGAATGCCATGATATACAAGGAATATACTCAGATACATACGTGTATATTGATGTTTGTGGTATACTTCAGAAAGACTAGTCTGCACCTGTTGACAGTGCGTTATCTGGTGTCTCCTAATGAGAGATGGAAAAGGTGCTGCCACACTGTCTAAGCAGACCAATCCTCAGCAGATTGCATCCATTCTCCTTTTTTTTTCTTGTATTTTGTGACCTTGCAGTCAGTGACTTAGGTCCAGAATAGTCTCAAAGTCATGTAAATGAAAGCAATTAAGGTATTGCTTATCATCTTACAGAGTTCATGTAGAACCTTATTGGATGGGGAGATTTGCCTGCTTTATGAGGAAGGTCAAAATGAGGTTAAATTTTATTACATAAAATGATTTGGTAATGGTTTTATTTAGCTGCTGAAAAAGTCATGCCCTAATCAGAAATGATAATGCTTTTTCTTAGTTACCCAGTGATCTCTTCAGGGTTTTGTTTCTTTGTTTTCATCTTTTTATAAAACCTTGTTAGAGATGCCTTCTCTCCTGCTCCCAAGAGCATCCTTCCCTTAGGCAGGACTTTAGGTATCATTGATGACACGCACTCACATGCATGGAATTGAACAAAAAATGTAGCAAAGTAAACATTTCAATTTTGTTTTCCATGAACATTTTTTTTTAAGGATGATTTAAAATTTATTTTTTTGAGAATCAGGCCAGCGAAGGCAGGTGGGGGGAGGAATTTCCACAGGTTCACTCCCCAGATGTCTGGAACATTTGTCAGAATTGCCTGAATCTGGGAGCTGGGAATTCGTGTGGATTGCTCACATCAGTGGTAGAGATCCAGATACCTGAGCCATCGCTTGAGACCTCTCTGGGTCTGCCTTAGCAGGGAGCTGGAGCTAAGGCCTGAACCTGAACAGTTAATATTGGTTGTAGTGTTTTAAGCACTAGTCAAGTGCTCAGTTCCTTCCATTACCGGTTTTTTTTTTTTTTTTTGAAAGATTTATTTATTTTATTGGAAGGGCAGATGTACGGAGAGGAGGAGAGACAGAGAGGAAGATCTTCTGTCCAATGATTCACTTCCCAAGTGGCTGCAATGGCCGGTGCTTTGCTGATTTGAAGCCAGGAGCCAGGAACTTCTTTCTGGGTCTCCCACTTGGGTGCAGGGTCCCAAAGCTTTGGGCTGTCCTCAACTGCTTTTCCCAGGCCACAAGCAGGGAGCTGGATGGGAAATGGAGCTGTCGGATTAAGAACCGGCGCCCATATGGGATCCTGATGCATTCAAGGCAAGGACCTTAACCATTACGCTGTCTTGCTGGGCCCTTCATTACCTTTTGAAGTACCTTCATATAGGTTATATTTCCTGATGTAGCTTCGGGGTTGTTGATAAATATGTTAATATATTTGTTAATGTCTAAATTACTAATTGGCACAGTATCTCAGAAAGTAAGATGAAAATCTCTCCTCACGTGGACATGCCACCCAGCCAGACCGAGTATCTGTGAGGGCTTGGAGAGCATTCATGCAGATACAAGAGGAGCTTTACTATTGAAGAACTGAGAATCAGTGATTCTGTGTTTGTGACTGTGAAGTAATTAAAAGACAGGCAGGTATTTTTCATTATTGTTGGTCCATATAATTACCTTCTTTCCTTTTATGGTGGTCTTTTACTAAAGCATGTTGTATTAATTGATCAACGCTTAAGATGCATTGATTCATTGAGCAGACATTTACTGAGCATTAGCTGTATGCTTTATACTTGCTAGGTATGAGGAGATTTAATGATGAATGAAGGGCTCACGGTCACAAGGAGAATAATAATAAGCCTGATCCTGAGAAGGTGACCCGGAGGTGTAAGGGTTGAAGAGCCTCCTTGGCTAAGATGTTGGGGAGACTTTGCTCTGAGGTGTTGGGTATCTTATAGGTGCTGAACCCCATATAATGAAATGATAAAGAAAAATAGCTGTTTGAGGGGAATGTTAGGATTCAGGCTTGGGGACTTTTTTTTAGAGCTGTTCTTGAGAACTGATAATAGATTATGGACTAGAAATTGAGACTTTTTGGAGTGTTAGCTAGATGTAAGTGCAGTGGCTGATACAAAAAAGAATGTTCTAGAAATGGGATTATGAAATTATCCCATCACCATCTAACTTCATTTTCCATTAATAAATATAAATATAAGTCAGTAAAAAGTTTCTTCACCCATCACAGTATTAAAAAAGGTTATATCTTTAGATGGCTAAGGACTTCATCTACTCTTATTTCCTAGAGTAAAAGTTTTCTCACATGTTGGTGTCATTCTAGACTGGTTTTTATTCTGGTTTATTTTAACATTTTCTGTTCCTGTTGGTCTTGGAAAGAAATTAGATTTTTTAAAAACTCTGAAGATTATAAAATATTGTAATACTCTCTCCCAGAGTCCTTGATTGAAATCCCTGTTCATCCTTGACAATTAGCTTCTCATGTCCTCAAAAAGAGGCAGCAATCTTTACAGTTGAGTAAAGACAGACACGTAGTATATTTTGGCAAATAATTTTGTAATGCAAGTTGTTTTATCATATGGGGTCAAGAACCATGCCTAAAGAAAGCATGTGTAATTAAAAATGTTTTACCTGGTAGTACATCTTTTTATAATTTTTTGAGATGGCTTATTTAATCACCAGTCAAGGCTTCATTTGTAAAATATGTTATTGAAATTTGTGGAGATAAGAGACACCTAGTAACACTCATTTCTCTTCTCTTTTGTTAGAATTTGGATTGTGAGTTATTGGAGACCTCTGTCCTCAGGAAATCCATATTGTAACATTCAGGAGAAACACATCCCAAAGGTATTGTTCTTTTTTTTTTTTTTGTCTCATGGTTCTATTTATTTTAACCTAGTCAAGCTTTTTTTGGTAATAGGAAGTTAAGACTCTTAGGCCATTTTTTGTTGTTTACTTTCCTTTGGCTTTCATATTCACATCAAAGGAAAGAGGAGTGTGTTTTAGACGTGATAAACCTGAATTCTGTGTGAGTGAAGAACAGTTAATTGAGATCAAATAAGTTTTTTTATATTAAAAATATCTGAATTTCTCTTGTTATCTTTGGGGCCGGGAACCCAGATGCTCAAATCAAATAAAATGGATGAGTGCATATTACCGATCTATATCCTTCCATAAAGTTCATCATCTCTGGATTACTTACATGCCCAACATAATGTAAATGCTTTGTAATTAGCTAATATACCGTGTTAGGTAAGGATAGTGACAAGAAAACAGAATGTTCAATACAGAATCAGTTTTTTCTTTCATTTTGTTTGAAAGAATTTTCCAAAATTTGGTTGTTGAATCTATGAATACAGAACTCATTGACACAGGAACAAATTGCATTTATATTTTAATTTTTCAGTTTAGATTCATTTTAAGAATGTCTTCAAAAATGGAATGTATGAAGTTCTTGTTTAAGGCAGTGTGAAATGTACATTAAACATCCGGGGAGGCTGATCGTCCTTCCCGCCTAGGACAGTTCCATCCTCTAGCGATCATCTGCCCCCTGTATTACATGAGTCTCATCAGGATCCACATGGCTCTGCCTCTGACCATCTACCCCCCAAGGCCCCTCTGCACAGTCATGTGCGGTTAGGTTGGTGCAGAACAGTAATCGTTCATCTGGCTGCAGACCCAGTAATATGTGCCATATTACCAGGAGGGTCGGATGTTCAGAAGATACCTTAGAGGTTTGTCTTTTGCGACCTGCCTTAGTCTGTTCCGTGTTGCTATAACAAAATACCATGTGTGTGAGGCTTATAAGAGAAGCAGTGCTAGAGGCTGAGAAGTCTAAGATGAAGACACCAACAGATTCAGTGTCTGGAGGGGATCCACTTCTCACAGCTCTAGCTAGAATTTCACAAGGTGGAAGGAGCCCCGGAACTTGTACAACCTTTTCTTTTTCCTTATAAGAATATTAATCCCATTTGTAACAACGCTGTCTTCATGACCTAATCATTTCTCAGAGGCTCTCCCTGTAGATACCACCCTCACACAGTGGATAGATCGTAAGAATGATAGGGACACAAACACTTAAGTCATAATGTATTCCCAAAGTGCATGTGGAAATGCGGATAAATTGGCCAAAGTCAGTCTCATTGCAAAAGTTTCTTCTTAGAATCCAACTTTATACAGCCACCCCGTATCTTATATTTTTCTTTTTAAAACTTTCGCTAGTTGTTTTTCTTGAAATAGGAATAGGTGGGAGGCAGATAAATATATCAAATATAACAGGAAATCACATCTATGGATTGCTTTTTGTCTGATTTTCAGGGGAAAGGTGTGAACAGTTTATGTTTGAGTCATATTTTGTTTATCATTTGTCTTCTGCCAATCATTGCTACTCCATTGTATGGCTGAATAACTGTGTATCCATTCTATTGTACATGAATGTTGAATGTTTTTCTAGTTTGTGGCTACTTGTTAGGCAACTATAAGTTCCTTTGTGATTTTTGATAGCTATAAACATTTGTTTCTGATGAGTGTGTCTATCAGAGTGGAACTACTGAATAGAATGTATATTACTGAACTCAAGGATATACTTCACGAACAGTACCTGAAATCCTTTTAATATTTCAAAAATGTCGATCAGTTCTTTTACTAATGGTTGACATTATTATAAGCTAGACTTTTCTTCAGATTTAAATATAAACAGTTTCTTTTTCAGGAGTTACTTACAATTTCTTACCCATTAAAACTTGAGTATCTGATTTCCTGATCCAATTATAATAAATATGTCCATATCTCTTCTAATCTTAGTGAAGAATAATGGACTTGAAAACTTCCTGTACATATTTATGATTATGGAAATCTTGAAAATTAATTTTTAGACAAAATCAGATAAAATGTATAGCAAAGACTTCTTTATTTATTGCATATTTGGACACCTCTGAATATTTAATGCAGCAGATGCTCTTGAGATATAATAATCTTTTCTCGGTATTTGTGCTGAGTGTTTCTTGCAGCTCTGTGTTTGCAGAAATCTGTCTAGCAGTTTAGTGGAAATTCTTGCTAGAAAAGTTTTTAAACATTTTTATGTTAATTTTTTAGATCATTAGGACAGTGTTACTCAGAACTATAATACCAGTTGTATTATGTAATTTTAAATTTTTTCGTATCCAGAGTTAGAAACTGGGATGAAGTTCAGATTTGTTTTATGTAATTCAGTTTTAAAAAGTATTACTCTATCCCTTGATAAAAATGTAAGGTTGTAAGATATTTTTTACTCTTTTTCCCCAAGCTTCTGAATCTCATTCATACTTTCACTTGCTGTACCCTGTCTCAGTTTTAGATAGGCCCCTTTTAGTGCTCAGCAGCCACATGTCTGTTGGTTTTCATGTTGCACAGCACAACTGCAAAGTTGCATGTTGGAGTTTGTTAAAATAAAATTCTTTGGTTGAATTCATATCTAGTGCAAATTGCCGTTAAGAATCCAACAGAAAGATGTTGGCCTCTTGGTTGGAATAAATACCATTTTCTTTGGTTTGATTTCATATAAAGTAATGGGCCAAATCTCAGTGGCAACTTTTAAAGGCAATTGTCTGCCATTAACAAAACACTAGAATTCTGTAATGTGTAGGCTCACCTCTTTAATTTTAACCCATGTAACTATGTGTGCCTGGTAGAATTCTACTTTCAGGGGAGATTTTGCTATTCCTCATTTCTCCTAAACATGGCTGTTTGATTTTGAGTCAGAAATATTGTGATTTGTTATAACTCCATGTATTCTGAATACAATACAACAGCTTAAAAATAATGTGTATTCCTGTAGATGCATCTATGATTTTCCATTAATCAGGATGTTTAAAGGCTACTAGAATTTGAGAGTTATATTTCTTTGTGCTTATTTGCTAAGAGGGATGCTAGAGAGTAGAATCCATTTCATGTTATGCATCAGATTTTGCCACCAAAATGGTTTTTAAAGTTTTGTGGCATTCATAGTAGAGACTGTAGATACAGGTTGACTGACTTGTGAAAACAGTCATATTCAGAGGGCTGTTTTGTGGGGTCAAGTATACTAACTATACTTTTGACAAAACCACTTAGCGTTAGTATCTTATGCACTATAAAATCAAAAAAGAGCAAATCATTCCTCTATGTAGAAAATCTTCCTCTCAGCTGGTATAAATTTGATTTCATGGCATTGACTGATGGACACATGGTAGTTTCTCAGACTGAGGACCAGCCTGGACTCATTTGGATGCATCAAAATTTAATCCTCTTTATGCTCTGTTATGTTGTCTTTGTTTGTTTTGCTCTTACATAAAACCTTTACAAACACAAGGAAACATATTTTAAATGTATTTAGTGTTTTTCTTAGGTATATGTGTGGTTTTCCATTTGAGATATGAAATAGATTTGTCAAAGATTTCTGAGATTTCAGTGAGTTCCAGGAGACATACATTGTATTTTGCTATCTTAATAATTACTGTAGATTGGGTAGAACTTGAGGGCTTTTTGAAGCTTTGCTATTTTGTGAAGGATAGATTGCTTTTTATTTTCTATAGGTAGTTTCTAATTGTACTTTTTGAAGATTGTGTTTTTATGTTGCCTACAGTAAGTTGTCAAAATAGAGCAGAAAATATAATCTAAACATATATTAGGAATGAGTATATGCTGCTGCTGCTGCAAGATACATTTAAAATACATTAAAATATTCTTGTAGAAAGCTTTATAAGATGATTTTTAAAAAGTCCCAACAGAAGGGCTGTTTGCATTTTTTGTTTTATACCTTTATGCGTGGAGCACGTAGGATCCTCCTGCGCTTGATTATAGCCAAAAGCATTTTAATTAGGACAGGAAGAATTAATTAGAAGTTTTAGTTTGTCTTTCTACCACATCTCCCAAATTCAGGCTTTAGTTTTGTCTGCTAGTTAGTGGAATGACTTTCTAGCTGGCGTATTGCCTTTTAGTATTTATTACCCAATATGTACTACAAAGTTATAGAACAAATTCTTCCAATAAAAGTGTCATTATCCTGAAAAACTTTTGCTCCCAAAGTAAAGGCCAAGTCCAGTTTCCATCTTGCTCTTGTTCACCACGATATCCAACATTTGATTTTACTTCATTGAAAAAATATACTAATTTCCCAGTTAATAACAATGCCTCATTGTTTTTGCCTTTTCATCTCAGATATCTTTTTATTTTCTATCCTGTGACATGTGAAATCTTTCTGACTAAAGGGCGCATATGCCTTCTTCTCTCCCACAGTAATTAATCGGTACCATCCATATTAAATTTATTGTCACAGGTTTTCATTCATTTCTTCAGCAAGCTTTATACACTTCTAAAGGGAAGGGATCATATCTTTTATAAATTTGTGATTTTTAAAGCACTTTACTTTGGGCCTCATAGAGAAGGTGAGGAGGGACAGGCTGAAGTGAGGAGCCTGGGATCTGTTGGGCTGTCCCGTGGAAGCGGCAGGGGCCTGAACACTGGGCCATCATCTGCTGCCTTGTAGGGTACAGGAGCAGGGATCCGGAAGTGGAGTAAACAGGACATGGAGACAGCAGTTCACCTTGTGATGCCACGTCCCTTGCAGTGAATTAACATTCTGTGTTGTAAAGCCCACCCTATGATGCTATTTCAAAAACTAGAAATCATTTTTATAAAGGATAAAGACTCACCATGTCTTATGAAAGTTCTTTACTCTTCTGTAACAGTTCTCCATCGAGTTTGCTAGAGGAGGAGATGATAATGTGTGTTAGAAATATGCAGGTTTGAAATTCTGATGTGAGGATATGTGATAGCACACATACCTATTTTATTGAATACACAAAATTGTTATACAGAACAATTGATAT